TTATCGCTACTTTCAAGAAAGTTAATAAAGAAAAAAATGATCTTATGTTAAACATGCCTGGTATGCTTTTAAATCTCTTTGTATCTTAATATATAGTCTTTCTATATTTACGAACAATCAATTGCTTAACTTTTTAGATGATTCTGAGTTAGACGAATACGTAACATATTCAAGTAAATTAAGAGAAATTCCTATTCTTCCTATCGCACGCAAGAGTGTTGTCATGGGCACAACATGGACATTTAAACCTACGTCTAAACATAGTTTTGTGCAGCTTTGTGCTTCAAGAATGGTAATGTTTTGATTGATCGTTTTCTTTAATTTATTTTTAATGTTTTTCTTTATTTAATTTGACCCTTTTTAACGATGTTTAGGTTGAAAGATTTGGTAGAGATTATGCTAATTATGAAGAAATATCGATAGAATTCAAAAACATAGAGGTACTTTATCATAAAACTTCCACTATTTAAGAAATCTAGTTAAAAATCTTAATATTTACATTTTGGCAGTACAATAATAATAGTGCTTATGAAAATAAAGAACAAATAAATAAAGAAGGTTGGATTATTATTTTTACAAATATTTTTGGTATAAAAATTTTTTCAATTTAATAACTTTAATGCCATTTATTTAACGAGATACAACATAAACATCGTAGTTCTTGGATAAACAAAGTACCCCATTTAATCTATGAGAAAGATTCCCGGAACAGTATTTACGATCTTCTTCTTTGAAAAAAGAAAAAAAAACAAAACAGAATTTTCTTCAAAAAAAAATAAAAAATAAAAAACTGCATTAATGTTTATGCGTGATGTTAAATGTTTGTTACAAAGTTAATTTGATGTAATGCTAATTAATTATTATTTTCAAAGACTTTATTTGAAATTAAAGATGTATTAGCACGTAAAAATATTAATAAATAATATAACTTTATTTTATTTTTATTCCATTTTTCTTTATTTTATTTTTATTCCATTTTTCTTTGATAACGTGGGAGACTCGATTGTAAAATTGATCTTAATGAACTTATCGCTACTTTCAAGAAAGTTAATAAAGAAAAAAATGATCTTATGTTAAACATGCCTGGTATGCTTTTAAATCTC